GATGCTGCAACAGATTGTCAAGCCGCACAATTAAGTCGATTCGTTACTCGGCAAGGATTTCTGCTCTCCTCCCGGAGAACAGTCTTTTAAAGCTTTGCAGGAAATTTCCTTAGAGGGATGTGTACCTTACTTTTGTTCCCAAAGGAAATTCAACACCACAACCCCCTCCCCCCAAGTATACAGCACCAAAGTAACTGCGATGGCAAAAATCAAAGCAGACGCGGCAGGTGCACAGAAACAAAGATGTTTTTACCTGCAGTTGTAGGTCCTGATTTCCTTGTTATCCCTTTTGCACTTGACTGCCACAAAGATCATGGTGACAAAAAGAATGGCTGCGATAGACCCCAGGGCAATAATGAAAATCAGGGAGAGGTTAACAGATCCTATGGACTCCTGGGCATCCAGGGCAGGAGACAGGTATATCAAAATCAAGGCGGAAGCCGAGAGAGATGTTTTGCCATGGTCATGAGCCACCACGATCAGCTCGTAGGCTGTCTTTGCATTTTCCCCAAAGGCTCTGGTGGTCCTTATCTCTCCATTGACCTGGTCTATCTCAAAAAATCCTCTGTCTCCTTCCACCATTTCATAGGAAAGTCTGCCATTTTCACCCTCATCATAGTCGTCTGCCTTGACCACGGTCACCAAGTAGCCGACCCCCGCGTTCCTGGGGATGTACACCTCCGCAGTCCCGTTGACCAACGGCGGGGCCGTGATCACAGGAGTGTTGTCATTGACATCCAGGACAATCACCCTGATGGTGGCGTTGCTCTGCAGAGAGGGATTACCCCCATCTTTTGCCAAGACCTTGAACTCAAAGGCCTTCGTCTGTTCATGATTGAAGGACCTCAAAGCATAGATATCTCCAGAGTTAGGGTTGATGGAGACATAGGTGAAGACAGGCATGTCCCTGACTTGGGAGGGAACGATCTGGTAGGAGACACTGCCATTGAGGCCCAGGTCAGGGTCCCTGGCAGAGACTGAGAGGAGGTAGGCCCCCGGGGTGTTGTTCTCCTGCACAATGACCTGGTAATAGGGCTTGGAGAAGTGGGGATGGTTGTCATTCTCATCGGTGATCTTGACGGTGAAAGACTTGGTGGCCTGCAGTGAGGGGACACCGTTGTCCTTGGCTTGGATGGTGAGGTTGTACTGGTCCCTCTGCTCCCGGTCCAGCCGCCCGTCCACCAAGATGGTGGAGAAGCTCTCGTACTCCTGGAGCCGGAAAGGCACGTTGCCCAGGAGCTTGCACTGCACCCGCCCGTTGGCCCCGGAGTCGCGGTCTGAGACCCGCACCAGGGCGATGACGTACCCCGGCGGGGCGTTCTCGCTCACCTCCACCAGCTCGCTGTTGACGGAGAGCAGGTTGATGAGGGGTGGATTGTCATTGGCATCCTGGACACTGATGGTCACTTTGCAATGGGCAGGGATGGAGTTAGGCCCCAAGTCCTTGGCCTGCACATCCAGCTCATAGACGTGACCCTCCTCATAGTCAATGGCACCGCTCACCGTGATGAGGCCAGTCTGGGGGTCAATCTGGAAGAGCTCCCGGGCCCGCTCAGAGACGTAGCTGTGGAAGGAGTAGAGGACCTGGCCATTGGTGCCCTCGTCTGGGTCAGAGGCATTGAGGCGAATGACTGGCGTACCCAGTGGGGCGTTTTCAGGCACACTGACGGTGTAGGCCGGCTCCTCGAACAGTGGGTTGTTGTCATTGGAGTCAATGACGCGGATGCTGAGCTCCACTGTGCCAAAGTTGGGCGGGTCACCACCGTCCAGAGCCGTGATCACGTAGCTGTAGTGGGACTGGGTCTCACGGTCCAGGCTCTTCTCCACCACCAGCTCAGCAAAACGGGACCCATCGCCTCGCGTCTTGGTCTCCAGCCCAAAGAGGTCGTTGGGGGTGATCTCATAGGTCTGCACACCAAAGCTGCCCGAGTCTGGGTCATAGGCACTCTCCAGTGGCACCCGGGTGCCAGGGCTGGCTGTCTCCGAGATTTCCAGCTCGATCTGGTCAGTGGGGAAGCTGGGTGCGTTGTCGTTGAGGTCCTTGATCTCCAGCTTGATCACACAGATCTCCATGGAGCTGGACATCACCTCCAGCGAGATGATGCACTTGGGGCTCTGCCGGCACAGTAGGTCCCGGTCGATCTTCTGCTTGGTCACCAGCAGCCCGGACCCTGGGCTGATGTCCACCAGGTGGGGGGCCGAGTTGGAGACCACCCGGAAAGCGGTGGGCTCCTGGGGGTCCAGCACGAACCCGGCGTCCCGGGCGTCCTTGGCGACGTTGGCGATCACCGTGCCTGCCCGCTGCTCCTCCTCCACCGAGTACTTGAGGTTAACGAGGGCCCCGGCGCCGGCCCACAGCA